CTTGAACAATTTTTTTTGTAAGATGACACGATACTGTCAATGTTACCCAATCTTGTATAGATATATCTTATCATGAATTCGAGAAATCGGGTTTGACACTCGCATTATCTGAAAAAGAAGTGATACGAAAAATGCATGAATAAACGAATCTCGTATTTTAATTTTATTTCTGTGAAAGCAAAATATACACGTAAAAATGAAATGCATTAAATAGAGTGAGTTAAAAGATAATTATTTAATATTTAATAAATATTATTAATAGTATCATTATATTATAAATATTATTAATATATATATTTAATATTAAATAATTATTATACAATATAAATATTTAATTTTCTTCCCGCAAGAAAAACAAACTTGATGTATTACATTAAAAAATAATTTCAAAGATCTATATTATATACAAAAATAATTAATAAGTGACAGTTTCTCGTTGAATCAAAATTATCACTGTAAAAATACATTTGTGCGTTCGAAAGATTTTCTGTAAAATAATAGAAGTAGTGAAATAGAATTTGCGATGTAAAATATCGAGCTCTGCTTTTATCGACGTAACTCGATGGCAACATAGATGGATAAAGTATAAGCGCGGGATAGATTTAATCTAAACCGAGAGAGTGGTATATCCGATATATGAGAGATTGAAATAGTTTTCATGTAACCGCAGTGGGGTGTACTCGCTTTGTCGAATGTTCTATGGTCTCTCGTTCGAGCAAAAGTGATTTTCTATGGCGCGCCATATCGATAACATCACGCTAATGTCATTCACTTGTTCGCCTCCGGAACCGATGCCGATCTTTATAGGGGTTATTATTATTAAGTGGCTCGCAGAGCATTCGCGTTAACGTATGAGCAATTATAGACGGAGAGAAAAAGAGAGATCGGGACGATTTGACATCCAAAGTGGCACGTGGACGAAAAATAGAAATACGGTTAATTTATGATTGAAGAATTAAAATTTTGGTATTTAATGGTGCTCAGTTTCTTAAGGAAAACAGGTTTTATGATACAGGGAAAATAACACGATTTTATCGCAAAAGTTGATTAATAAATATGTATTATAATATAAAAATAGAAATTGGATGTGATATACAATCGAGAAGAAATTGAGTAATCACACATTCTGCAAATGTCATTGACAAAAAAGTTAATTAAATTAATGTAAAAATTGGTAGCAATAAAATAACTTGTCATAATCGTTTTCTCAAAATTATTTTTATAAATAATTTAATTAAACATTTTATAAAAAATGTTTTGCTGCTTTCAAATAAAATGTATAATTTTCGTAAAATAAAGATACATATATACCATTGGTTTTTTATAAGCGTGAAAATTCATAGATTTTAGAAGGCACGATTTTTAGAAAACGCTGTCTTTAAAATTTATTATTTCGTTTTCATTCTTGTATTTTAATTGCTCCAGATATTCGGCCACACAAGTTATTGCAAATGCCTATTATTTTTTGTATACGGATTCTTTTTTATTCAAAAACATGTGAAAGGGAAGGATCCCCTATAAACTGCTAAAATTGCCCTATATATAATGCCCAATAGCAATATACATTAACATTTGTATCAATTAGTCGTGACGTTTCTAGTAAGAATGTTCCGTTATATTCATGTTTAAAAGGACATCCTTTGCGTAATCTGACTCCAATTTTTGAACCGACTGATATTTATTTGTCATATAAATCTTCCAAATCTTTTTATTCAAAGCAGTTCTGACCATGACGATTCTTTGTTGCTTTTGGTCCCTTTCATTCTTAAAAATTTAAAAGGACTATTATTGTATTTTGTATTATTGCATATTATACATATCTCGATTTTTAGTGTAATGAAATGGCGGGATATTTAGAAGCAAGCGCTAAAAGATCAACCGGTTTCGCAAAAACCGGCAGCTTTTTTTCAATTTGTCTAATTTTATTCGCTGCACGACTATAATAGACATCCCGTAGCTTTAACAAATGTGTTTGCGTCGCTTTCTTTACGCTTTTACCGAATCCTAATTTGAGGCATCCCTTTCCGGCGAGATTCCTGAATTGATGATCATTTTTAAAACAGGGTAAATGGGTCTCCGATATTTTATTGTTTATATTAAAAATTTTGTTAATCAATGTTATAAATTGAAAATTAATTATAATTATATATTACTTGCTTATAAGGTTGGTCAATTTCAATTTTTTCAAAATATTATGACGCATATTTTTATGAGCTATTTTTTGTAAATTTCTTGAAGATAAAATTATGTGTGTTACCTTAAATTAAATTTTGATAAGAAATGTTAATTTAAACTCGACGTACAATTGAGAAACAAAACAATCGGATAATATTGTAATTTAAAAGCTAATAACACGAAATTATTCAAATGTAAAAAACGCGTGCATATTTTTTTATGATATAGGTACGTACTTGTATTTCCTTCGCTATGCATTATTTTTTATTTCATTTTTTTTTCTTTCCTGTCGTGAGAAACGACGAGAAATCCGTTAAAATAGCCATTTCATGGATCGCAAAGAGGGTTGTAGTAAACGTGTTTCTTTTTTTTTTCTTCGAGATTTCAATTCCTTTTTGCTCTTATTTTACGCTCATAAACACTTCTCGGACTGATTTACTATTTAGATCTAGATAATTCTGGAATCGAGCTACTACGTTAATAAAAAATTTACCTTTTCTTAAACTCTTGCGTTTCTCTTTTTGAAAGTATCAGTCTAGCTATTGCAAATTGGAACTGTATTCTAATTATTTATTTATTTAATAAATAATACATTTATTTTTATATTTTTTTATTTTAATTTATTTAATTAATCGGCTTTATTCTATGTTTCTTATTTAAAATTCTTATTTTTATGCGCAATTTACAATGGAATCTCTTCCAATATATGAACTGGTATTAATAATTTATTATTGTTTAGCTTTCCAATTATCACAAGTACTTGATGCATCATACCAATAATTATTTGATTGCGGATTTTTAACAACAGTTTAAAATTTTATAAAAATTTATATAAAAATAATTTATTTTATAAACATTTTGTAAACGATCTATAAATGATAAATATTTGTTTCTTTTATATATAAGAAAAAATTTTAATTTTATTTGTGCAACACAAAGCATAGTATATATTTGTTAAAAAACTCCCTCTTTTAATATAAACAATAATTACATTTTACAAATTTGCAAGAAATATTATATAGTGCTGAAAATGACAAAAGTGAATCGATTGGCAAAGGATAAATCTTGATTGAAAATATACATATATTAACGTTACACTTATATTAAGAATGATGCACTTTCTTCTTTCTCCGTCGCTATCCGTTGTGGGCAATGTCGTTTTTGTGAATGCATCCCAAAACGACGTCGGCACGCACGGAGAAGAATCGCAAACATTCGTAAAATCATCCCTTTACGAGTTCGTCCCGCGCATAATGTCTTAGACGTCTCCATAGCTTGTCGCCGGCGGCGAATGTTTTTTTATTCGCGGTTTTATTTTGCAATACGCGCGCGTGTGTGTGAGAGAGTCGGGAGTCACATTGGCCATATACAGACGAGACATTAGCTCGCTGCAGACTTGTCGATTAAAAAAACGTCAATTGCTCCGATTCAACTCTTTTTAACGATACACAGAGCTCAAATTTTCTTACAAAAATAAGAAAGAAATTTAGTATGCATTGTTGAACTTCAAAATTAATATACATTTATATATTAATTTATTTTAATGTACGTGATTTATGTTACAAATATATTTAATAATTATTATATTATATTATGTTATATTATTACATTAAATTATATTATTATAGTATATTATATTATTTTTATATCATTTAGATACTATATATAATTTATATATTATATATAAATATATTATATATATAAATATATACATATTTCTAAATTAAATATCTTTATAAATATATATTAAATATATATTTAAATATATTATATATATATATATATATATATCTATATATTAACCAATATTCCCACAAAAATGCAATTTTTTATTGCTGCTGAACAGTTAACAAAATAGTTAATTTAATAATGAGATATATGGATTTCAATCTCAAACGAAATTTAAAAGCTTCAAATATTCCTAAAAAAAAAAAATATACGTAAAAGCAATTCGGACGTGTGTCTCGCGGAGATGGGGCAGATCGTTATCCTTGGCGAGCCTTCGTTGGGGTTGCGAACGACTTGCCTTGAACCAGGTCGGCCGCAGAATCCGGGAGGATACCCGCAGACGTGGGCACGACGGTAATTCTTTAATTGCTCCGGCTAATTGGCCCCGAGTGGCGCCACGAAACATCGTCGATGACAATTATTTCGCGGAGAATGGATGGCTCGTAAATTGACGGTATTTTTATTTTTCTTTCAATCGAGGCGCCGCTCTCTTTCTCTTTCTCTCTTTCTGTTGTCTCCACTCGCGAGAATTTGGATGAGCGAATTTTGTCCGCAGTAATGAAAAAAAGTTTCAGTGACATTATACGTTCAAATATATTTATCTATGTATTTTTTACGTATTAAATTTTACAAAACTCTTTGATGTTTGCATACTAATTTTCAAACTAATATTATAATTTTTATTCTTTTAATTTAAGATTTAGAATTTTTAATAAAATATTATATATATGTTATATTTTTATTTTTATTACATATATTAATTAATATATATTACATCCCCTTTATATTTTTATATATATTTTTATTTATAATGTATATACATTGTATATACGCACACTATATATACGTTAGCTAATATAAAATATTTTTAAGTTATAATATCATATATTGTTTTGAATTTATTTACGAAAATAAGAAGATTGATTTATGATATTGAAAATAATATATTATTATCGTATTATGTATAAACATATATACATACGTTCGAACGACTTCTCCTTCAATTATTTATAAAATCATGACTTTGATGTACTGTGTTATATTATTACATGTTCCGAGACGAAATTCTTTGTCAGTTAGGACAGAGAAAGTATACAGGAAACAAACTTTGTCTTGTGCGCGATATCGAACGATTCAAACTCTTTCTTTGTCTTTTCAATTATCAAATCGTTACTGTTCAACATCACAATTTTGTGAATAAGGAGATATTTTTCTCAAATTAAAAAGATGAATAGTTATAAAATTTCCGCACCGGGCACAATCATTTTAACCGGAGAGCACTCGGCGGCGTTTGGTCGAACCTTAATAATAGCCAGCTTAGATTGTCGTACCAAACTCGAATTCTACGAACTGTCTGCAGAAACACGACGCATTGAGATAGAGTTCTTTGATGTTAATCTAGAGACTACTATACCATTACGAATTATTAATAACTTTGTTAGAAGAAGACTTTCAAGTCTACAACAACTTCAATACGTGAAATTCTTAATTACTGCAAACTGTATATGGAGGACTTACGCCCAAAGAAATTCTTTAGAAATATTCTTAATCGTGTTTTATATTGTTATGGCTGAGGAGTTTGGTCCTGTCAGCAATGATGTCCCACCATTTCGCGTGACGGTGTCCACGGAAATACCCATGTGCGCCGGTTTTGGCAGTTCGACATCTTTCACGGTATGTCTTGTAGCGTGCTTTCTTCATTGGCAGTTTCTACGAGGTGTTTATCGTTTTAATAATGAAAATGAGTTTTGTAATAAAATTGTGCGTATTGCTCAAAGAATCGAGGGTTTCATGCAAAACAATGAGTTTGCGACGCCCTATATCGCAGTTTGTGTGTACGGCGGAATATCAAAATGGCGATTAAACAATTATTTGATCGATGATCAGCATACGGTTGTCCACACTTGTCTAGAACCAATGAAAATCCTATTGATCGATTCAAATAATCGCCAGACGAAGCATAGACAAGTAAAAAAAATGATACAACTGAAATCTGAATCTCTTGGTAATTTTTATTTTATATTACGTAAATTAAATTTGTATGCAGAAAAAATGTTTGAATGCTTTGAATTAATAACTTCCGCCACTGGAATAGACAACAAAACTCAACAAGAAAATTGTTATAATGCTTTAAAGGTAACATTTTTGTTTTATACTTAACAGTGTTATTATTATATTTTACATATGTATATAGAGTGTATAACGTTTTCTAATTAACACTTTTCGTGTTTTGCAGAAATACATTTGTGAAACTCAAGAATTATTGACGGAAAATGAATTGTCGAGTGAAGCATTCGATAACATTGCCAGCACTGCAACAAATATGGAATACGCGGCAAAGCTTACAGGTTTTGGACCTAGATATACATATATTTTGCTACCACCGTACCTTAGAGACGATGAAATTGAAACAATTACGACACAGTTTCAAGATCAGAACTTCGTTGTTACACAAACTACCATCAATGGTGAGGGAGTGAGACTTGATGATTGATTTTCTAATAAAATTATCGCGATTATTATTTAAATGATTAAATAATAACAAATAATTAAATATAAAAAGATGTGTCTAGATTATAAACTAAAAATTGAAGAACAATACATATTTTTGTTCAATACATATATTCAGTTACTTAAAAATAACAGTATTTTAATGATATCATATTGAATTGAGAAATCAAAAGTGAAAAATACGTTGAATATTTTTCTGGTAAAAAATATAAAAAAATATTATTCTTTATTTCCGATGTTACTTCAAAAATATAAGTTATGTCGCGTTGGGATCATGTGCTATAATAAACATACAGAAGACTTTCGATTTGCAAATTAATTGGTATACAGAAATGCTTCATATTTTACATTATAATGCAAATTGTGAATGAAAAATGAATCGAAAATTTAGAATTATATTTTTCTGTACTAATGTTGTTCATTAAATGGACACTTATGTATTCATTTATGTGTTGCACGGTTGATAATTATGTGTTACATAATTATATTATCCGACTTATGGATGTATTTTTATGTAAACAATAGAATTGGAGAGTTTTATTTAATAATTTTCTTTTCATTGATCAATCGTAAAAAAATATTTCAAAATTTTTAGATTTTCATTATTTAACAATGTTATATATAATTTATGAACACATTTCTGTGATACCTGTTATTTATTACCACATATTTTATTTTCCAAAGTATGAAGACTAAACTAAGAAAGTTATACACATGTTTAATTAGTAAGGTTAATAAAGAATAATAAAATATTTTTGTATTGTTGAATAATATATTAAAATATTAATTTATTTTCGTAAATTGTTGAAAGACATTTAACGGTTTTTTTTTCACTTTTAATTTTATTGTTCAAAATGACATGAATAAAAGGAAAACAGAAATTATAATATAAATAATAAAGTATTTGTCGAATTAATATGTACTATTATTCTATTATTACTTGAAATATAAATAGTAAAATTTTTTGTTTTGCTAATAATGTCTCTATAAATATAATTATATTATTATGACGTATTATTCTATTATTACTTGAAATAATGATACTAAAATTTTCTGTTTTGCTAATAATGTCTCTATAAATATAATTATATTATTATGACGTACAAACTAGTTACGGTAATTATTTCAGTTAAATTTGCACAATAGATATTGTCTGAAAGAAAAGAATATGTGTTTCTATTCTTTTTTTTGTACTTTCAATGTTATACTAAAAACTTATCTATTTTCTACATTTGTATACTCTCGAAACAATGTATCGTTTCTTATTACATTAATTTATAATTATTATGTCGAAATAAACTGTCATCATGCGATCTGTAAAATAATGAAGATTACGCTCTATAATTATCTTTTCTTTTAAATTTATATAATTATATTAATAAATTTAATATGATATATAATAACAGCTCTCAATTAGAACTGCTAAGAACTAATTTTACGTGTATATCTGAATTATATGTATCGCGATCGATGAGAAAGTATATTTTTAATTATAATATCTCTTTTGTTAGAAGCGATGTTGCGCCAAGATCATGCGCTGTAATGAATATACAGAAGTCTTTTTTCGATTTGTAAATTAATTGGTATACGGAATGCTCTATAATTTAAATTATATATTGCAATTTATATGAATAAAAAATAAGTCAAACAAAGTGATAAATATAAGGCCAACTTATCGAGCTGAATATTCGAGATGTTCAGTCAACTACCATTTATTACATGTATAAATTATAAAACTACAGTCATTATATTAAAACTAACGCAAATTACAATCATTCTATAAACGTTTCGACTGCACGCGGTCTTCTTCAGTATAATTATTGAAATATAAATTCTTACAATTCACATAATATCGAAATTTAATTATAGTTATTCAGAATCAAGAGTTTTTGAGCAATTAACGCGTGTTTCAATCCGTCCTGTCCAACAATGTTCGCCTCGATATGATCCCTGATTTTGTTCAGATCTCGGATAGTTTCATCGTTAATATGCGAGAAATTAACCCGTTCCGTAGGCGCTGCGATTAATAAAAAATTACCGATCAACGTATGTCCAAATTATAATATGTATCCCCTACAATTGGTAGTATGCTTACCTATCATCGTTCTTCTTGACAATTTTGCTACTTATTAACAGTTATTAAGGATGACACATAACAAACCAACAATACAGAAAGACAGCTCATTTTAAACTCTACTTGATCGGAGAGCGTGCGTGTTTATATATGATCTAATATCTATGTTTTACTCGTTAATGTCCTATTTGTCCTATTATTATTTCTTGTTCGCTAATATATCCAAAATATCAAAATACGACTCGCTAAGTAACTCAGTATCTTTGTTTAAATTTAGTCCATTTTTTTGTTCCTTGATATGTAGCATCTCAGAAATGAGTCTTTTATAATAATTATTTTCGTTGTCCATGATCTTAACATTGTCCCAATTAAAAGTATGATGTTCATTTATTATGTGTTCAGAAATTACTGAATGTTTCGTTGAGTCCAACCTAATATTATTTTTATGTTCTTTTATTCGCGTCTGCAATTGCCTCTTTGTTTGGCCTACATAAGATGCATTACAATTATTGCAACTGATCTTATAAACCACATTCGAATTGCATGGATGTTTAGTTTTATCTTTCTGCGCTTTAATAATATTATCCAGTTTGTTGAGACATCTATACCCTACCATACAATTTTTATTTTTTACCGAGGAAACAATCATTTCTGAGATCCCATCTATATACGGAATGACAAAGAATTTTTTATTGACCGAGTCATTTCCTATACTTTTTGTTCTTTCTATGTTGGCCTGTCTCTCTATAATGCTCCCCTTAGATATGATGTGTTCTATCCGATGATTAATTTTGTTAAAAATCAGATCAAGAGGGTAACCATTGCTTCTGAGTATATTAATAATTAACTCCAAATTTTTATTAAAAAATAGTGGATGTGATAGCAATAGACATCTGTCTACAAGGTTATATATTATTCCAATTTTGTGGCATAATGGGTGGTTTGAATAAAATGATAACGTCCTTCCTGAGAAGGTTTCTTTTTGATACCAGTCTATATATATTTTGTTATTGATAATTTTAAGTGATAAATCTAAGAAATTCAAGCTATGGTTAACCTCTTGTTCGACCGTGAATTTAAGTCTTTCATGATAGTTGTTAAAATTATTCACAATCTGAGTCATATTAGTCATAGAGTTTAAAATGAGCTGTCTTTCTGTATTGTTGGTTTGTTATGTGTCATCCTTAATAACTGTTAATAAGTAGCAAAATTGTCAAGAAGAACGATGATAGGTAAGCATACTACCAATTGTAGGGGATACATATTATAATTTGGACATACGTTGATCGGTAATTTTTTATTAATCGCAGCGCCTACGGAACGGGTTAATTTCTCGCATATTAACGATGAAACTATCCGAGATCTGAACAAAATCAGGGATCATATCGAGGCGAACATTGTTGGACAGGACGGATTGAAACACGCGTTAATTGCTCAAAAACTCTTGATTCTGAATAACTATAATTAAATTTCGATATTATGTGAATTGTAAGAATTTATATTTCAATAATTATACTGAAGAAGACCGCGTGCGGTCGAAACGTTTATAGAATGATTGTAATTTGCGTTAGTTTTAATATAATGACTGTAGTTTTATAATTTATACATGTAATAAATGGTAGTTGACTGAACATCTCGAATATTCAGCTCGATAAGTTGGCCTTATATTTATCACTTTGTTTTCAATATACGAGCGACAATTGTATTAATTTAAGTCAAACAGTTTATAATTATGTTAATATATTGCGAAATTGTAACATTTAAATATATGTACCTACTATAATATGTATATGAATGCAAATAAAATAATGACAATTTGTCCAATTGTTAATTTTAATTAATAAACTTTTTTATTTTTTGATTTTGTGTAATTAAAATTATTGTACATTCCAGTATTAAAATGTTGATTAAAGTTTGATTAAAGTATATCAAATAGCATATCAATAAGTATATCGAAAAAATTGGATTTATTTGTAATCGATATTTCAGTTAGCATGTTTTTGAAACACTGTTATTGTTAAAAAATCAGTCATAACAGAGAGAGATGCGAAATGATGTAATACGAAATATGCATAAAATTTGTTTTTTCTTAGAGATGTCGCGCGGAGATCATGCGCTTCAATGAATATACAGAAATCTTTTTTAATTTGTAAGTTAATTTGAGTACACAATGCTTCTTAATTTTAATTATACTTATTAGACAACACAAGCATATTGTTTTTATTTTTATTTTATAACTGTAAAATTGTTAGTCTTCGCGATGACAGCTTGATACTTTCAATTTAACAACAAAGCGAATCGAGATAAACAATCAGCACCGCAGAAAGAAAATTCAATGATTCTTCGAAAGATCTTCCTATAACTCTTTTTTACAGAAAGATACACTACCGCTCAAAAGTATTTTGCTACCCTTAATTTAAGAGAGAACTCAAAAACTAATGTGTGAAAAAAAAAAATTATCTGAAGAGAAGAGAGGCATAATTGTCGGACTTTATATATACATATTTATAAAAAAAGTTCAGTGACATTATACGTTCGAATATATTTATCTATGTATTTTTTACGTATTAAACTTTACAAAACTCTTTGATGTTTGCATACTAATTTTCAAAATAATATTGTAATTTATATTCTTTTAATTTAAGATTTAGAATTTTTAATAAAATATTATATGTTATAGAGTCGTTGACGAAACATCATAACGATGGGACGTGTTCCTCTTTTGATTTTTAACTTTTAACATCATAACGATGGGACGTGTTCCTCTTTTAACGTTTAACTTTCGATTTCAAATAACACCGGTGTGATGTTATGTTAACCTCGGTTTAATTGATAAAATATTATATGTTATATTTTTATTTTTATTACTTATATTAATTAAATATATATTACATCCCCTTTATATTTTTATATATATTTTTATTTATAATGTATATACATTGTATATACGTACACAATATATGCGTAGGCTAATATAAAATATTTTTAAGTTATAATATCATATATTGTTTTGAATTTATTTACGAAAATAAGAAGATTGATTTATGATATTGAAAAATTATATTATTATCGTATTATGTATAAACATATATACATACGTTCGAACAACTTCTTCTTCAATTATTTATAAAATCATGACTTTGATGTACTGTGTTATATTATTACATGTTCTGAGACGAAATTCTTTGTCAGTTAGGATAGAGAAAGTATACAGGAAACAAACTTTGTCTTGTGCGCGATATCGAACGATTCGAACTCTTTCTTTTCAATTATCAAATCTTCACTGTTCAACATCACAATTTTGTGAATAAGGAGATATTTTTCTCGAATAAAAAAGATGATTAGTTATAAAATTTCCGCACCGGGCACAATCATTTTAACCGGAGAGCACTCGGCGGCGTTTGGTAGAACCTTCATTACAACCAGCTTAGATTGTCGTACCAGACTCGAATTCTCCGAACTGTCTGCAGAAACACAACACATTGAGATAGACTTCCCTGATGTTAATCTACAGACTAATATACCATTAGAAATTATTAATGACTTCGTTATAAGAAACTCTTCAAGTCTACAACGACTGGAGTACGTGAAATTCTTAATTACTGCAAACTGTATGTGGAGGACTTACGCCCAAAGAAATTCTTTAGAAATATTCTTAATCGTCTTTTATATTGTTATGGCTGAGGAGTTTGGTCCTGTCAGCAATGATGTTCCACCATTTCGCGTGACGGTGTCCACGGAAATACCCATGTGCGCCGGTTTTGGCAGTTCGACATCTTTCACGGTATGTCTTGTAGCGTGCTTTCTTCGTTGGCAGCTTCTACGAGGTGTTTATCGTTTTAATTTTGCAATTGAGTTTTTTGTTAAAACTGCGTTAATTGCTCAAAAAATCGAGAGTATCTTGCACAATGAGTTTTCGACGACCAATGTCGCAGTTTGTGTATTCGGCGGAATATTAAAATGTCGATTAAACAATTATTCGCTCGTTGCTCAGCAAACGGCTACGCACATTCATCTAGAAAGAATGAAGATTCTATTGATCAATTCAAATAATCGCCAGATAAAGCATAGACAAGTATTAAAAAAAATGATACAACTGAAATCTGAATCTCCTGATGATTTTCTTTTTATATTATATAAACTTAATCGGTATGCAAAAAGAATGTTTACACACTTTCAATTAATAACTTCTGCCATTGCAATGGACAACAGAACTCAACAAGAAAATTGTTATAATTCTATAAAGGTAAAATTTTTGTTTTATACTTAATAGCGTTATTATTATATTTTACATATGTATATAGAGTGTATACCGTTTTCTAATTAACACTTTTCGTGTTTTGCAGAATTACATTTGTAAGACTCAAGAATTATTGACGGAATATGATTTGTCGAGTGAAGCATTCGATAACATTGCCAGCACTGCAACAAATATGGAATACGCGGCAAAGCTTACAGGTTTTGGACCTAGATATGCATACATGTTGCTACCACCGTACATTAGAGACAATGAAATCGAAACAATTACGACACAGTTTCAAGATCAGAACTTCGTTGTTACACAAACTACCATCAATGTTGGGGGAATGGTATATCATGTTTGATTTTCTAATAAAATTATCGCGATTATTATTTAAATGATTAAATAATAACAAATAATTGAATATAAAAAGATGTATTTAGATTATAAACTTAAAATTGACGAACAATACATATTATTGTTCAATATACATATATTCAGTTACTTAAAAATAACAGTATTTTAATGATATCATATTGAATTGAGAAATCAAAAGTGAAAAATACGTTGAATATTTTTCTGGTAAAAAATATAAAAAATATTATTCTTTATTTCCGATGTTACTTCAAAAATATAAGTTATGTCGCGTTGGGATCATGTGCTATAATAAATATACAGAAGACTTTCGATTTGCAAATTAATTGGTATACAGATATGCTTTATATTTTACATTATAATGCAAATTGTGAATAAAAAATGAATCGAAAAATTTAGAATTATATTTTTCTGTACGAATGTTGTTCATTAAATGGACACTTATGTATTCATTTATGTGCTGCACGGTTGATAGTTATGTGTTACATAAATATATTATCCGACTTATGGATGTATTTTTATGTAAACAATAGAATTGGAAAGTTTTATTTAATAATTTTCCTTTTATTGATCAATCGAAAAAAATATTTCAAAATTTTTAGATTTTCTTTATTTAACAATGTTATATATAATTTATGAACACATTTCTGTGATACCTGTTATTTATTGCCACATATTTTATTTTCGAAAGTATGAAGACTAAACTAAGAAAGTTATACACATGTTCAATTAGTAAGGTTAATAAAGAATAATAAAATATTTTTGCATTGTCGAATAATATATTAAAATATTAATTTATTTTCGTAAATTGTTGAAAGACATTTAACGGTTTTTTTTTCACTTTTAATTTTATTGTTCAAAATGACATGAATAAAAGGAAAACAGAAATTATAATAGAAATAATAAAGTATTTGTCGAATTAATATGTACTATTATTCTATTATTACTTGAAATATAAATAGTAAAATTTTCTGTTTTGCTAATAATGTCTCTATAAATATAATTATTATGACGTATTATTCTATTATTACTTGAAATAATGATACTAAAATTTTTTGTTTTGCTAATAGTGTCTCTATAAATATAATTATATTATTATGACGTACAAACTAGTTACGGTAATTATTTCAGTTAAATTTGCACAATAGATATTGTCTGAAAGAAAAAAATATGTGTTTCTATTCTTTTTTTTGTACTTTCAATGTTATACTAAAAACTTATCTATTTTCTACATTTGTATACACTCGAAACAATGTATCGTTTCTTATTACATTAATTTATAATTATTATGTCAAAATAGACTGTCATCATGCGATCTGTAAAATAATGAAGATTACGCTCTATAATTATCTTTTCTTTTAAATTTATATAATTATATTAATAAATTTAATATGATATATAATAACAGCTCAATTAGAACTGCTAAGAACTAATTTTACGTGTATATCTGAATTATATGTATCGCGATCGATGAGAAAGTATATTTTTAATTATAATATCTCTTTTGTTATAAGCGATGTTGCGCCAAGATCATGCGCTGTAATGAATATACAGAAGTCTTTTTTCGATTTGTAAATTAATTGGTATACGGAATGCTCTATAATTTAAATTATATATTGCAATTTATGAATAAAAAATAAGTCAAACAGTTTATAATTATGTTAATATATTGCAAAATTGTGACATTTAAATATATAGTACCTACTATAATATGTATATGAATGCAAATAAAATAATGACAATTTGTCCAATTGTTAATTTTAATTAATAGACTTCTTTATTTTTTGATTTTGTGTAACTACAATTATTGTACATTCCAGTATTAAAATGTTGATTAAAGTTTGATTAAAGTATATCAAATAGCATATCAATAAGTATATCGAAAAAATTAGATTTTTTTGTAATCGATATTTCGGTTAGCATGTTTTTGAAACACTGTTATTGTTAAAAAATCAGTCATAACAGAGAGAGATGCGAAATGATGTAATACGAAATAGGCATAAAATTGGTTTTTTTCTTAGAGATGTCGCGCGGAGATCATGCGCTTCAATGAATATACAGAAATCTTTTTCAATTTGTAAGTTAATTTGAGTACACAATGCTTCTTAATTTTAATTATACTTACTAGACAACACAAGCATATTGTTTTTATTCTTCTTTTATAACTGTTAAATTGTTAGTCTTCGCGATAACAGCTTGATACTTTTAATTTAACAACAAAGCGAATCAAGATAAACAATCAGCATCGCAGAAAGAAAATTCAATGATTCTTCGAAAGATCTTCCTATAACTTTTTTTATAAGAAGATACACTACCGCTTAAAAGTATTTTACTACCCTTAATTTAAGAGAGAACTCGAAAACTAAATTGTGAAAAAAAAAGAATTATCTGAAGAGAAGAGAGGCATAATTGTCGGACTTTATATATACATATTTATAAAAAAAGTTCAGTGGCATTATACGTTCGAATATATTTATGTATGTATTTTTTATGTATTAAACTTATGCATAACTTTACAAAACTCTTTGATGTTTGCATACTACTCTTCAAAATAATATTGTAATTTTTATTCTTTAATTTAAGATTTAGAATTTTTAATAAAATATTATATATATGTTATATTTTTATTTTTATTACATATATTAATTAAATATATATTACATCCCCTTTATATTTTTATATATATTTTTATTTATAATGTATATACATTGTATATACGCACACTATATATACGTTAGCTAATATAAAATATTTTTAAGTTATAATATCATATATTGTTTTGAATTTATTTACGAAAATAAGAAGATTGATTTATGATATTGAAAATAATATATTATTATCCGTATTATGTATAAACATATACATACGTTCGAAAAACTTCTCCTTCAATTATTTATAAAATCATGACTTTGATGTACTGTGTTATATTATTACATGTTCCGAGACGAAATTCTTTGTCAGTTAGGATAGAGAAAGTATACAGAAAACAAACTTTGTCTTGTGCGCGATATCGAACGATTCGAACTCTTTCTTTTCAATTATCAAATCTTTACTGTTCAACATCACAATTTTGTGAATAAGGAGATATTTTTCTCGAATAAAAAAGATGATTAGTTATAAAATTTCCGCACCGGGCACAATCATATTAGCCGGAGAGCACTCAGCGGCGTTTGGTCGAACCTTCATTACAACCACCTTAGATTGTCGTACCAGACTCGAATTCTCCGAACTGTCTGCAGAAACACAACACATTGAGATAGACTTCCCTGATATTAATCTACAGACTAATATTCCATTAGAAATTATTAATGACTTTGTTAGAAGAAGCTCTTCAAGTCTACAACAACTAGAGTACGTGAAATTCTTAATTACTGCAAACTGTATGTGGAGGACTTACGCCCAAAGAAATTCTTTAGAAATATTCTTAATCGTGTTTTATATTGTTATGGCTGAGGAGTTTGGTCCTGTCAGCAATGATGTCTCACCATTTCGCGTGACGGTGTCCACGGAAATACCCATGTGCGCCGGTTTTGGCAGTTCGACATCTTTCACGGTATGTCTTGTAGCGTGCTTTCTTCGTTGGCAGCATCTACGAGGTGTTTATCGTTTTATTTTGCAACTGAGTGTTTTGTTAAAACTGCGTTTATTGCTCAAAAAATCGAGAGTATCATGCAAAACAATGAGTTTGCGACGACCAATGTCGCAGTTTGTATATTCGGCGGAATATTAAAATGTCGATTAGGCAATTATTCGTCTGCTCAGCAAACGGTTGTGCACATTCATCTAGAAAGAATGAAGATTCTATTGATCAATTCAAATAATCGCCAGATAAAGCATAGACAAGTATTAAAAAAAATGATACAACTGAAATCTGAATCTCCTGATGATTTTCTTTTTATATTATATAAATTAAATCGGTATGCAAAAAGAATGTTTACACACTTTCAATTAATAACTTCTGCCATTGCAATGGACAACAGAACTCAACAAGAAAATTGTTATAATTCTATAAAGGTAACATTTTTGTTTTATACCTAATAGTGTTATTATTATATTTTACATATGTATATAGAATGTATACCGTTTTCTAATTAACACTTTTCGTGTTTTGCAGAATTACATTTGTAAGACTCAAGAATTATTGACTGAATATAATTTGTCGAGTGAAGCATTCGATAACATTGCCAGCACTGCAACAAATATGGAATACGCGGCAAAGCTTACAGGTTTTGGACCTAGATATGCATACATGTTGCTACCACCGTACATTAGAGACAATGAAATCGAAACAATTACGACACAGTTTCAAGATCAGAACTTCGTTGTTACACAAACTACCATCAATGGTGGGGGAGTGGGATATGATGATTGATTTTCTAATAAAATTATCGCGATTATTATTTAAATGATTAAATAATAACAAATAATTGAATATAAAAAGATGTATTTAGATTATAAACTTAAAATTGACGAACAATACATATTATTGTTCAATATACATATATTCAGTTACTTAAAAATAACAGTATTTTAATGATATCATATTGAATTGAGAAATCAAAGGTGAAAAATACGTTGAATATTTTTCTGGTAAAAAATATAAAAAATATTATTCTTTATTTTCTATGTTACTTTAAAAATATAAGTTATGTCGCGTTGGGATCATGTGCTATAATAAACATACAGAAGACTTTCGATTTGCAAATTAATTGGTATACAGAAATGCTTCATATTTTACATTATAATGCAAATTGTGAATAAAAAATGAATCGAAAAATTTAGAATTATATTTTTCTGTACTAATGTTGTTCATTAAATGGACACTTATGTATTCATTTATTTGTTGCACGGTTGATAATTATGTGTTACATAAATATATTATCCGACTTATGGATGTATTTTTATGTAAACAATAGAATTGGAGAGTTTTATTTAATAATTTTCCTTTTATTGATCAATCGAAAAAAATATTTCAAAATTTTTAGATTTTCATTATTTAACAATGTTATATATAATTTATGAACACATTTCTGTGATACCTGTTATTTATTACCACATATTTTATTTTCGAAAGTATGAAGACTAAACTAAGAAAGTTATACACATGTTCAATTAGTAAGGTTAATAAAGAATAATAAAATATTTTTGCATTGTCGAATAATATATTAAAATATTAATTTATTTTCGTAAATTGTTGAAAGACATTTAACGGTTTTTTTTTCACTTTTAATTTTATTGTTCAAAATGACATGAATAAAAGGAAAACAGAAATTATAATAGAAATAATAAAGTATTTGTCGAATTAATATGTACTATTATTCTATTATTACTTGAAATATAAATAGTAAAATTTTTTGTTTTGCTAATAATGTCTCTATAAATATAATTATTATGACGTATTATTCTATTATTACTTGAAATAATGATACTAAAATTTTTTGTTTTGCTAATAGTGTCTCTATAAATATAATTATATTATTATGACGTACAAACTAGTTACGGTAATTATTTCAGTTAAATTTGCACAATAGATATTGTCTGAAAGAAAAAAATATGTGTTTCTATTCTTTTTTTTGTACTTTCAATGTTATACTAAAAACTTATCTATTTTCTACATTTGTATACTCTCGAAACAATGTATCGTTTCTTATTACATTAATTTATAATTATTATGTCAAAATAACTGTCATCATGCGATCTGTAAAATAATGAAGATTACGCTCTATAATTATCTTTTCTTTTAAATTTATATAATTATATTAATAAATTTAATATGATATATAATAACAGCTCAATTAGAACTGCTAAGAACTAATTTTACGTGTATATCTGAATTATATGTATCGCGATCGATGAGAAAGTATATTTTTAATTATAATATCTCTTTTGTTATAAGCGATGTTGCGCCAAGATCATGCGCTGTAATGAATATACAGAAGTCTTTTTTCGATTTGTAAATTAATTGGTATACGGAATGCTCTATAATTTAAATTATATATTGCAATTTATGAATAAAAAATAAGTCAAACAGTTTATAATTATGTTAATATATTGCAAAATTGTGACATTTAAATATATAGTACCTACTATAATATGTATATGAATGCAAATAAAATAATGACAATTTGTCCAATTGTTAATTTTAATTAATAGACTTCTTTATTTTTTGATTTTGTGTAACTACAATTATTGTACATTCCAGTATTAAAATGTTGATTAAAGTTTGATTAAAGTATATCAAATAGCATATCAATAAGTATATCGAAAAAATTAGATTTTTTTGTAATCGATATTTCGGTTAGCATGTTTTTGAAACACTGTTATTGTTAAAAAATCAGTCATAACAGAGAGAGATGCGAAATGATGTAATACGAAATAGGCATAAAATTGGTTTTTTTCTTAGAGATGTCGCGCGGAGATCATGCGCTTCAATGAATATACAGAAATCTTTTTCAATTTGTAAGTTAATTTGAGTACACAATGCTTCTTAATTTTAATTATACTTACTAGACAACACAAGCATATTGTTTTTATTCTTCTTTTATAACTGTTAAATTGTTAGTCTTCGCGATAACAGCTTGATACTTTTAATTTAACAACAAAGCGAATCAAGATAAACAATCAGCATCGCAGAAAGAAAATTCAATGATTCTTCGAAAGATCTTCCTATAACTTTTTTTATAAGAAGATACACTACCGCTTAAAAGTATTTTACTACCCTTAATTTAAGAGAGAACTCGAAAACTAAATTGTGAAAAAAAAAGAATTATCTGAAGAGAAGAGAGGCATAATTGTCGGACTTTATATATACATATTTATAAAAAAAGTTCAGTGGCATTATACGTTCGAATATATTTATGTATGTATTTTTTATGTATTAAACTTATGCATAACTTTACAAAACTCTTTGATGTTTGCATACTACTCTTCAAAATAATATTGTAATTTTTATTCTTTTATATTAAGATTTAGAATTTTTAATAAAATATTATATATATGTTATATTTTTATTTTTATTACATATATTAATTAAATATATATTACATCCCCTTTATATTTTTATATATATTTTTATTTATAATGTATATACATTGTATATACGCACACTATATATACGTTAGCTAATATAAAATATTTTTAAGTTATAATATCATATATTGTTTTGAATTTATTTACGAAAATAAGAAGATTGATTTATGATATTGAAAATAATATATTATTATCCGTATTATGTATAAACATATACATACGTTCGAAAAACTCTCTTTCAATTATTTATAAAATCATGACTTTGATGTACTGTGTTATATTATTACATGTTCCGAGACGAAATTCTTTGTCAGTTAGGATAGAGAAAGTATACAGAAAACAAACTTTGTCTTGTGCGCGATATCGAACGATTCGAACTCTTTCTTTTCAATTATCAAATCTTTACTGTTCAACATCACAATTTTGTGAATAAGGAGATATTTTTCTCGAATAAAAAAGATGATTAGTTATAAAATTTCCGCACCGGGCACAATCATTTTAACCGGAGAGCACTCGGCGGCGTTTGGTAAAACCTTCATTACAACCACCTTAGATTGTCGTACCAGACTCGAATTCTCCGAACTGTCTGCAGAAACACAACACATTGAGATAGACTTCCCTGATATTAATCTACAGACTAATATTCCATTAGAAATTATTAATGACTTTGTTAGAAGAAGCTCTTCAAGTCTACAACAACTGGAGTACGTGAAATTCTTAATTACTGCAAACTGTATGTGGAGGACTTACGCCCAAAGAAATTCTTTAGAAATATTCTTAATCGTGTTTTATATTGTTATGGCTGAGGAGTTTGGTCCTGTCAGCAATGATGTCTCACCATTTCGCGTGACGGTGTCCACGGAAATACCCATGTGCGCCGGTTTTGGCAGTTCGACATCTTTCACGGTATGTCTTGTAGCGTGCTTTCTTCGTTGGCAGCATCTACGAGGTGTTTATCGTTTTAATTTTGCAATGAGTGTTTTGTTAAAACTGCGTTTATTGCTCAAAAAATCGAGAGTATCATGCAAAACAATGAGTTTGCGTCGACCAATGTCTCAGTTTGTATATTCGGCGGAATATTAAAATGTCAATTAGGCAATTATTCGCCCGTTGCTCAGGAAACGGCTGTGCACATTCATCTAGAAAGAATGAAGATTCTATTGATCAATTCAAATAATCGCCAGATAAAGCATAGACAAGTATTAAAAAAAATGATACAACTGAAATCTGAATCTCCTGATGATTTTCTTTTTATATTATATAAATTAAATCGGTATGCAAAAAGAATGTTTACACACTTTCAATTAATAACTTCTGCCATTGCAATGGACAACAGAACTCAACAAGAAAATTGTTATAATTCTATAAAGGTAACATTTTTGTTTTATACCTAATAGTGTTATTATTATATTTTACATATGTATATAGAGTGTATACCGTTTTCTAATTAACACTTTTCGTGTTTTGCAGAATTACATTTGTAAGACTCAAGAATTATTGACGGAGTATAATTTGTCGAGTGAAGCATTCGATAACATTGCCAGCACTGCAACAAATATGGAATACGCGGCAAAGCTTACAGGTTTTGGACCTAGATATGCATACATGTTGCTACCACCGTACATTAGAGACAATGAAATCGAAACAATTACGACACAGTTTCAAGATCAGAACTTCGTTGTTACACAAACTACCATCAATGGTGGGGGAGTGGGATATGATGATTGATTTTCTAATAAAATTATCGCGATTATTATTTAAATGATTAAATAATAACAAATAATTGAATATAAAAAGATGTATTTAGATTATAAACTTAAAATTGACGAACAATACATATTATTGTTCAATATACATATATTCAGTTACTTAAAAATAACAGTATTTTAATGATATCATATTGAATTGAGAAATCAAAGGTGAAAAATACGTTGAATATTTTTCTGGTAAAAAATATAAAAAATATTATTCTTTATTTTCTATGTTACTTTAAAAATATAAGTTATGTCGCGTTGGGATCATGTGCTATAATAAACATACAGAAGACTTTCGATTTGCAAATTAATTGGTATACAGAAATGCTTCATATTTTACATTATAATGCAAATTGTGAATAAAAAATGAATCGAAAAATTTAGAATTATATTTTTCTGTACTAATGTTGTTCATTAAATGGACACTTATGTATTCATTTATTTGTTGCACGGTTGATAATTATGTGTTACATAAATATATTATCCGACTTATGGATGTATTTTTATGTAAACAATAGAATTGGAGAGTTTTATTTAATAATTTTCCTTTTATTGATCAATCGAAAAAAATATTTCAAAATTTTTAGATTTTCATTATTTAACAATGTTATATATAATTTATGAACACATTTCTGTGATACCTGTTATTTATTACCACATATTTTATTTTCGAAAGTATGAAGACTAAACTAAGAAAGTTATACACATGTTTAATTAGTAAGGTTAATAAAGAATAATAAAATATTTTTGTATTGTTGAATATATTAAAATAGTAATTTATTTTCGTAAATTGTTGAAAGACATTTAACGGTTTTTTTTTCACTTTTAATTTTATTGTTCAAAATGACATGAATAAAAGGAAAACAGAAATTATAATAGAAATAATAAAGTATTTGTCGAATTAATATGTACTATTATTCTATTATTACTTGAAATATAAATAGTAAAATTTTTTGTTTTGCTAATAATGTCTCTATAAATATAATTATATTATTATGACGTATTATTCTATTATTACTTGAAATAATGATACTAAAATTTTCTGTTTTGCTAATAATGTCTCTATAAATATAATTATATTATTATGACGTACAAACTAGTTACGGTAATTATTTCAGTTAAATTTGCACAATAGATATTGTCTGAAAGAAAAGAATATGTGTTTCTATTCTTTTTTTTGTACTTTCAATGTTATACTAAAAACTTATCTATTTTCTACATTTGTATACTCTCGAAACAATGTATCGTTTCTTATTACATTAATTTATAATTATTATGTCAAAATAGACTGTCATCATGCGATCTGTAAAATAATGAAGATTACGCTCTATAATTATCTTTTCTTTTAAATTTATATAATTATATTAATAAATTTAATATGATATATAATAACAGCTCAATTAGAACTGCTAAGAACTAATTTTACGTGTATATCTGAATTATATGTATCGCGATCGATGAGAAAGTATATTTTTAATTATAATATCTCTTTTGTTATAAGCGATGTTGCGCCAAGATCATGCGCTGTAATGAATATACAGAAGTCTTTTTTCGATTTGTAAATTAATTGGTATACGGAATGCTCTATAATTTAAATTATATATTGCAATTTATGAATAAAAAATAAGTCAAACAGTTTATAATTATGTTAATATATTGCAAAATTGTGACATTTAAATATATAGTACCTACTATAATATGTATATGAATGCAAATAAAATAATGACAATTTGTCCAATTGTTAATTTTAATTAATAGACTTCTTTATTTTTTGATTTTGTGTAACTACAATTATTGTACATTCCAGTATTAAAATGTTGATTAAAGTATATCAAATAGCATATCAATAAGTATATCGAAAAAATTGGATTTTTTTGTAATCAATATTTAGGTTAGCATGTTTTTGTAACACTGTTATTGTTAAAAAATCAGTCATAACAGAGAGATGCGAAATGATGTAATACGAAATATGCATATAATTTGTTTTTTTCTTAGAGATGTCGCGCGGAGATCATGCGCTTCAATGAATATACAGAAATCTATTTCGATTTGTAAGTTAATTTGAATACACAATGCTTGTTAATTTTAATTATACTTACTAGACAACACAAGCGTATTGTTTTTATTTATATTTTATAACTGTCAAATTGTTAGTCTTCGCGATGACAGTTGCTTGATATTTTCAATTTAACAACAAAACGGATCGAGATAAACAATCAGCACCGCAAAAAGGAAGTTCAATGATTTTTCGCGTCTTCGAAGGATCTCCCTATAACTTTTTTTTACAAGAAGATACATTACCGCTCAGAAGTATTTTGCTACCCTTAATTTAAGAGAGAACTCGAAAACTAAATTGTGAAAAAAAAAGAATTATTTGAACAGAAGAGAGGTATAATTGTCGAACTTCATAAGGCCGGAAAGAGTAATAGACAAATGTTATAGTCATTTATAGTCATTTGTTTATAGCCATTAATTTATAGTCACATTTATAGTAATAAATTTATAATCATTATTTTATAGTCATTAATTTATAGTTATTGATTTATAGTCATTAATAGTCATTAATTTACAGTCAATTATAGTTATTTCTTAATAGTAATTTCAACACAATTTACTTAGGTGGGCAAATACTATTGAGCGGTAGTGTATCTATAAATTTGAGATTTAATTTACAAAAGAGTGAAGATCCGCGATCGAAAGACGAAGAGTTTAACCGGGCACTCGAAGCCATCACATCTTGCCATTTCTAATGCACGCATCTCTTATCTATCTTATATAATTAAACTTACGTAGGCCGTGAAGAGCCGTAGGCGTCGTTCGAAAGTCCTGCGCATCGTCGCGTCGACGCGCAAATGATTTATACGCGAGCCGATACGAAAAACTTATTGATTCCCGTTGGACGAGTACATCGACGACGTGGCCTCTCTCTAGTACTACGTCTCCTGACAGTTCGAACGTTCACGGAACGTCTATAATGACAAACCGCTTCGGTCTCTCTCTTTGGCGTTACGGACAGACACTTGGGCGGTTCAGGGCCGTGGCCAATGTTATAAATGCTCCGTCGAAAAAAAGCGGCACGGACCGCTTTAGGAATCTATCGTCGATAGACGATATCCTTCGCGGGCGCGCACACGGGACCGCAGCGAGATCGATTTGTATCGAGGGGGTTTCGAGAGAGCGAGATGGATGGGCCAGGTCTCGAAATCTATTAGTCATCACCCACACGATAACCGAGGCCTTTCCTCTCTCTCTCTCTCTCTCGCGTCGGTGCAGACAGGTAACTCGAATCGATACTTATTGTAGCGTGCCGATCGTGATGCATTTTTTTCCACGTGACGCGTGGAACGTCGATAGGTTCACGGAGGATTGCAATTCATTGGGATTCAAGGGAATGATAAACAAAGCGAAGGGATATTACGTGTGCAACAGCCGCAATTAACGTTAATCATGCTACGAATTCTGATTAATAGCACGATTAGAGAGACAGCAAATAGGATCGAGAGTCTATGATACCGATTTATTTTGTGTCTAATAAATAATTATAAATTGAGTGTCAAAACGTCACTATAATTTGAAAATAATAAAAACGTTGATATCAATTTTATTTATAAAATGTATAACAAAATTTTAAGTGAAATAATAATTATTTTTATTTATTATATATATTTTGTATCTTTTTATGTTAAATACAATTTTAGCTTAAAGATGCTCTATCACTATTTTCTAAAGATTTTGTTATACATTTTATAAATAAAATTTGCTTTAGTATTTTTATTTAAGTGTTACATGAAACCTGTTAGAAAAATTTCATTTCACATAAAATTTAATATATTAAATTTCGAAAGCATTCAAAAGAAACTTGTTGTAAAAATTAAGATAAACAAGATTTTCATTAATTCCATATCCAAATGTAAAATGACGGCCAATTAAAGTAAATACTTAATTACAAATTCTCTATGTTAGATGCAACATCTTATATATTAATCTTATAATTTTTCTTGAATTAATTTCTCTTGAACACTGAAAAAAATTTAGTAAGTATTTATTTCAATACTGTCAAATAAATCATTTTTATTTAAAACTAATAATATTTATCTGATATAAGAGAATCTTTTTCAAAACAAATAAGTACCCATTTATTTGTTTCAAATAAATGATTCATTTGACAGTATCGAACTAAATATTTGTTAATTTAACGAATTTGTTTTCAGTGAAGAATTGACCTGGTTTTAACAATATACACTTAATTTTAAACACAGATAATAATGATAATTATTTGATTAAACTAATGTTTGGACAACGTTAAGTATCGCGCCTACGCATGTCAGTGTCAGACGCGGCTTAGCGTTAGTTAGCCGCATTAGCTTGATTACGTTAGTTATCCCGAAACGTAGGACAAAATGCGGACGGAGGGACCAAAGCCTCGCTGCTCTCTCGTCGAAGTTGCTCACTTCCCGCCACTCGGGAGCACTTTGAGTTCATTCACTCAATTCATTTTCATCTCCGATTCACCGTTCGCCCTTCCTCCTCTGTTCTCTCATTAGCGTTCTTTCCGGTAGCCCCGAGGACTCGAATCAGAACGAGATTCTTCCTAAGAAAATTAGCGCTCGTTTCCGTCTTCGGGACTCGATTATTCCTCGAAGTGTAGCGAATGGCTCGAGGCGAAACTCTATTTTTCTTTTTTCCTTTGATTAAATATATTGTATATCAATACATGCATTTCATGTTTTGCACGATATAATAGTGTCACGTATTTGCAAAAAATTTCCAATTATTTATAAATTTTTTACTCTCTGTCTCTAAAAGGAAAATTCAATAGAAAATCCCTTTGCAAACGTTCATTTTTTTTGCGTTTAATGTGTATTAAACTATTATTTTTATTATTATAATTTAAATATATTTATTAATGTAGATATGACAATTATTACTTTTACTAAATAATAATTATAATAACTAAAAATTTTCTAATTAATTTCTGTTATTTTCAAACTGTAGCAATTTTTTTAAAAGAAGTAATAGTTATAAGATGTCTATATATATGTTCTCTCTCTGTAAATGTATAAAACAAAGTATTAATTTAGAAGTTGGTGGATAATATCTTCTTAAAGAAATTACAAACACATTGGCTAAAACAAATTATTGCTGTCTATATATAGAACAAACATTAATAAAGTGCCATCGATTTACCGATCGAAATGAAGGATAATAGAGTATCATTATACGTCATTTAAAATGAAACGTACTATGAATTGTGAAAGCGAATTCAGAGAAGTGCACTTGTATGCCTTTGTTGCGTCATCTGATATCACACGTAAGATTAGTGATAGAGCCAATTGCAATCGCTTTTGGACAAGATCTCTCAATTAAACAG